GATTACAGGCATGCACCACCACGCCCAGCTAATTTTTGTATTTTTAGTAGAGAGGGGGTTTCACCATGTTGGCCAGGCTTGTCTCGAACTCCTGACCTCAAGTGACCCGCCCACCTTGGCCTCCCAAAGTGCTGAGATTACTGGCGTGAGCCACCATGCCTGGTTGATAGGAATATTTTTGAAAGACCTTTTCATGGTACTTTACAACCTGGAAGGAATGGCTTTATCTTCTCTCAGGAGAACATGTAAGATTAACAAGTATATACAGCAAAAAAAAAAAAAAAAAAAAAAAAAAAAACTTGCAGACAACAAAAATTACTTTTTTTTAGGGAAGTGAGCCATTTTTATATAGCATGAGTTTGCTAAGTAACTTTACATGTTTATAGACATTTTAATTATTTCTGATATTGATTGTTATTTCACCAGTAAAACTGCTTGGGGAAAGAAGATCTTTAGAGCATTTGTTTCTTTTCCTTCCTTAGTCATTTCTTTATGAAACATTAATCTTTGACAATAAATATGAGAAGAAAAGCAACAAACAAGCAGTGGGTTTGTATAGTGGGTGGGAAACGGCAGGCCAAGGCAGGCTAGAAGTTCCTGTGACTCAGCAGCATGTTCTGTGGGACCGCCAGGAGTCTACAGTGTGGTAGTACACTCATCTTTTCTTCTCCCAAAGGTCTCAAACAGCTTAGATGGGAGGCTGAACGTGATGACTGGCTACACAACAGAGATGTAAAAAGTATCATCAAGAAAAAGAAACATTTTAAAAAGAAGAGGACTAAAACCACTCAAAAAACTAAAAAGCAAAGGAAATGAGAGTTATTAATGTAAATTATAAATTGAAATTCTACTTACATCTAATTTTTGCTGTTCAACCATGTTTTTTGATCCAGCTCTCTGATTCCATACATTCCAGACTTCTCAGTGGATTTGTAATAAACTATAAATAAAAATAGCTCTCATTTATAAAGTCATGTGGAAACATTGTTAAAATTAAACATATCGGAAAAAAAAAACTTTTTTCCATATTGCTACATAACAAAATGAAAAAGAAGACAGTAGGATTACAGAATTCACATATAAGCCCTGGCGTCTCTGATCATTGTAATGAGTACTATTTCATGTAACTACATGATGTCATCTTGTTTAGTCTTTATCTACTTGACAGAGAAAGAGACAGCTCCAAGAAGTTAGCAAACCTGAGATGAAACTGATCTTTTAAAACCAAACGTTTAAACTGTGGTTTGATTCTATCACCTCATATATGAATGATTCCAGAGTTTACATTCTTAACCACTAGAAGAATTCAGAATCCAGCCCATTACCTAATTTTCTCACTAGTATAGATGAGAATTTAGTCTCAGAAGAACTAAAATAGATGTGAATAGTATTGTTAGAAATGCCTTGTAAAGAAATTACTACATAATTTATAGGTTACCTCAAGAAGTTGTTTTATACTTATTTTTACTTTAGGAAAAACATACCTTCCAAGATGAAGGGATATTTCTTGCTCATTGTTTGCCTGAAATCTGATGGAAAAAAGGATGTCTTGAAATTAGATATGAACAGAAATTCATTATTAACACATACAGCCACAATTTAATGCTAGCTTTAGGGTCCATATGATGGGAACCATATAGATTAGAAATTTGTTTTACAGTCCTCCTCCGTTTGTTTTTGTTTTTTTGAGACAGGACCTCTCTCCCTGTTGCCCAGGCTGTAGTACAGTGGCACAATCACAGCCCACCACTGCCTAGACCTCCCTGGGTTGGGCTCAAGAGAGCCTCCTACCTCAGTGAAGGTCAAATAGCTGGGACGGGGCTTAAGGGAGCCTCCTGCCTCAACCTCCCGAGTAGCTGGGACTACAGGAGTACACCGCCATACCCAGTCTTTCCCCCCCCCCCTTTAAGATACAGAGTCTTGCTATGTTGCCCAGACAGGGCTCAAGCAGTCCTTCCACCTTGACCTCCCAAAGTGCTGGAATTACAAGTGTGATTCACCACACCCAGCCATGACCAGTTTTTAAAATTCATCCCAAGCTTTAATTTGCTTTTAAATACTGTTGGGATGTTTTCTTTATACCCTTTCTTAGAGTTGAAAAGAAAAGATTTTGTGAGTATCCAGTAGCATTTTGGTACAGCGTTCCAACAAAATACGCTGAGGAAGACTATGTGACAAGTTTCAAAGATGGCTATCATGCCAGGATTTTTGGGAAAAATCACTTCCTAATTTAAAAAGTTGAGGGCTCTAATATAAAATTTCCCCAAGAAAAATGTTAAAGCACTTTCAGCCATAGCATGTGAAAGTCTTTTAGTGCCCACTGTTGATGCCTAGGAAGAATACTATAGCCTGAGAAAACTGTTACTCCGAGAAAACAGCAGTAACCAGTTAGTTTCTTAGTCTACCAAACAATGAAGTGTAATGGGCAGGCTAAGTTTCCTCCATCTGTGCTTCCAAACTAAGTCCGACCAAGGACACTTGCTCTACCCTCCCCAATAGTAAAACCCATGGAGGTATGAAATTTTTCCCTTAGCCCACAAACAAAATTTTTAAGGGAGAAGTGAGAGTCATCTAGTCTACAATAATGAATACTTTGATTCCTGTTATGCCCATAAAAATGTCTAATATCTTGAATCTGAAGAACCAATTTCTCCAAAAATGCCATTGCCATTTAACACATAAAATGGATTAGCAAAACTATACCCCTTTAGAAAGCATTAACTTCTGAATTATGATTACCTTGGCTTGTGTGCATCTTGCTAAACAAAAAATATGCTCCAAAAAGGCCTACAAGTTCGGCTACCAAAATTCCTTTAAAGATCTTCTTTGTTAGTGGTTCCAAAGTACGGGCCATCCTAAATTTAAAATTAACAGATATGTGTAAACCTGAATGAGCATATTTAAACTACTATTATCATTTCTCTAATAACTCAAATTCATTCCCACAATTTGAATGGCTTATCTGTATGGGAATAAGACTTCAATACTATGGTATACTTTTTTGGTTTAGGCATCCTACATACCTAGTTTTCAAACTCCATGCCTAAGGGGCATGATGAACCAAAGACAAAATTGGATAAAGCACAGGAAAGAGATAAAATGCAAGAAAGCATTGTAAAAAACAATTTACAGAACTTAAATTTTTTAACTGTGTAGGAAAACAGAATGGGGAAGATAGGTTAATTTTTTAGCTGCACTGGGAATTAAGAAATAATCTAAATGGACACAATATGTGAACAGCTCTTCTTTGTAAAGTGCCCTACAAAAGTAAGATTTTTCTGAAGAGGTTCTACATTTTCTAGAGCTGGAGTTCTTCATTTATTAATACAACATATACTAATATATACTATTATACTATCTATATTATAGATAGTATATATATACATTATGATATATACTATATATACTAATATATGCTGATATATACTAATAATACAACATAAATTATGTGCTATAGTTCAGGCATTTGGAGTGCAGTAGCACAATCTCACCTCACTGGGCTCAAACAATCCTCCCACCTCAGCCTCCTGAGCAGCTGGGACCACTGGCATGCCTGGCTATTTTTTTGTATTTTTAGTAGACACAGGGTCTCAACATGTCGCCCAGGTTGGTCTAAAACCCCTGAGCTCAAGCAATCCGCCCATCTCAGCCTCCCAAAGTGCTGGGATTACAGGCGTGAGCCAATAATCTGCCCTTTAGCAGACACTCTGGGTAATTTTTATACAAATGGGGGCAGGGGATGGAAACTGATTGGGTGATGAACCAGTAAGAGGCAAAACCACAGACCGGTTAGATCTTGATTGTCTTCCTTTAAAAGCTAATCAAGAAAACAGGTTTGTGTCATTATTCTTTTCCAAATTAAAAGATAACAAGCTAAGAAAATAGAATATAAGACTCTTATTGAATAAATTAATGTAAACCCAAGTTTTTAGCCAGCCTCCTTATAACCTCAAAGTCCAGAAGAGAACCACTCGTTTTTCATCTCAGATGTCTCTATTGTCCTGTGTGTACTCCTTTGTCCTCAGTCCCAGCTCGCTGTGGTCAGGTGTTTACTCCATTCACTTCCCACTCCTTTTCAATGCCTGAGGGTGGGTGTAATCAAATAACTTTCCTTTTTTTTTGTAGGATTATTCTGCTAATATCTTACCAGGTGTCCCTCCCCACCACCCCCCAAATTCCCTCATTTTGATAATGTGATCACCCTGGAGACCAAAAGATTAAAACCTTACTATTCTTATTTAAAAGAAACGAAGCAAAGAAATTTACAAAGGAAGGAATTCATATACAACCAAGAGGCAGTTGACTGGTGGGAAGGGACAGTTGTTTTGCTCCATTCACTGCAATGCTGTACATGACTGACAGAAGTCATGTTCAATACAGATGCCTCTCTTGGAAGTTATTTTTTATTTTTTTGGAGACACAGTCTCGCTCTGTTGCCCAAGCTGGAGTGCAGTGGCACGATCTCAGCTCACTGCAACCTCTGCCTTCCAGGTTCAAGCAATTCTCTTGCCTCAGCCTCCCCAGTAGCTGGAAGCTGGGACTCCCGCCACCAGGCCCAGCTAATTTTTTGTATTTTAGTAGAAACGGGGTTTCACCCTGTTGCCCAGGCCGGTCTTGAACTCCTGAGCTCAGGCAATCCACCGGCCTCAGCCTCCCAAAGTGCTAGGATTACAGGCATGGGCCACCGCGCCTGGCCTATTTTTATTTTTTTGAGACTGGGTCTTGCTGTCTCCCAGGCTGGAGTGCAGTGGTGCGACCTTAGCTCACTGCAATCTCCGTCTCCCGGGTTCCAGTGATTCTCCTGCTTCAGCCTCCCGAGTAGCTGGGATTATAGGCATGTGCCACCACGTCTGGCTAATTTTTTGTACTTTTAGTAGGGATGAGGTTTCACCAAGTTGACCAATCTATTCTCGAAGTCCTGACCTCAAGTGATCCTCCCGCCTCTGCCTCCCAAAGTGCTAGTATTACAGGCCTGTGCCCCTGCGCCTGGCCTCTTTGGGGGGTTTGTTTGTTTTGAGACGCGCCGTCGCCCAGGCTGGAGTGCAGTGGCGCGATCTCGGCTCACTGCAAGCTCCGCCTCCCAGGTTGACGCCATTCTCCTGCCTCAGCCTCCCGAGTAGCTGGGACTACAGGCCCCCGCCACCACGCCCGGCTAATTTTTTCTGTTTTTTGGTAGAGACGGGGTTTCACCGTGTTGGCCAGGATGATTTCGATCTGACCTCGTGATCCGCCCGCCTAGGCCTCCCAAAGTGCTGGGGGGTTATTTTTAATGTTCCAGGGATGAACAAAGACTGCCTGCAGGCAGTTCCATTATTCAAGGAATCGAAGTAAAATTTTGTTTTATGAGAGGGTGATGATAAGAAATAAAGTCCATTTGTAGGCCAAGGTTAAAAGGAAAGAAAATAAGTCCGAATAATACTGGACAGCTGCCTTGGTGTACAGTGGTGAGCGTAGCCGCCTCCAAGTAACATCGTACAACAAAGTATTTACCTTTCAAAAAATATATATATAGTTTTGCACTCCGAGGCTCCCGGCTTCAGGAGGCCGATGATAAAACTTCAAGTTCCTTGGCTACAGACCACCAGGGGCACACCTGTCCACCCACAACGAAGTGACGTTTACTAGCTGCGGCAAGGGAGACACGGCAGAGGAGCGCCTGCCTTCTCAGCACAGGGACAGGCATCATCCCGGGAAGGAGTTTAGGTGAAGTTTAACACGAAGCCGCCTCTGAAAGATTCGGCGCAGGGCTGTGTGTCATGCAGTTAACATCACAAGGGGCTGAGAAGCCGACTCGGGGACACAAGCTCAAGCCAAATGTGCAATGCTGGGTCGGAAGCCCCTTATCCAGGGCTGCGCTCCAGGGAATTGGGGCTGCTTCCCTGTGCGGGGCGGCCTCCCAGCTTAGCGTCTGCAGGCAACGCGGTTTCAGGCAGCAACGTCTCTCCCTGTCTAGCTGTGCAGAGGACGGCTTTTCAGCAGAGGCAGAGAGCTGTCTCAGGCTGGCCGCCTCCGCGCCCCCGGCTCCTGCCGCGGTTCTCACCCAGCTCCCGCTTCCCCCGCTTCCCTGGTGCCCTCGACTGCCCTAGGCGCTCCCCTAGCCGGCTGAACGCCCGGCCCGGGCCTGCAGGCGACACGCGCGGGCACGCACGGAGCACGGCCCGGCCGCCAGCGACCCGGAAACACTCGCCTCCAGTGAACTGAGGCAGTGACACCTGTCTTCTACATGCCCCCGGAACTGTGACGAGGCCCCACGCAGAAGCCCGCCCCACTCTCGTCGCACTGGGGACCCCGATATACGACCGCCGAGGGGAAGCCACTCGCCACAGTCTCACCTGAGGTGCGTTCAAGGAGGACTGCGCATGCGCAAGGCTTGGCGCCGCTCCACCCCTTCCGTTGTCGGCTCCGCCTCCACATTCGTAGTTACCATTAATTGTACTCTGACCGCGACCCGAACCTGACTGCCCGCTATGTATATTATTTTATGGAATATTCGCAATAACACATGCAACAGGTGCTGAGTGTATCTCATTTTACAGAGAAAGCAAGAGGCTTACACTGCCCACAATCGCACCGTTAGGAAAAAACAGAATTCACATTTGAACCCAGGACACTGAGGCTGTGTAGTCTGTTTTGGGTCGTTTTTCTAACACCCTGGAAATTAAGGTGTGATTAGTCTCAGAGGAGCACCAACATAGGCATCACCTGAAAACTTGTTAGAAATGCAGAACTAGGCAGCGCGCGGTGGCTCACGCCTGTAATCCCAGCACTTTGGAAGGCGGAGATGGGCGGATCACGAGATCAGGAGACCGAGACCATCCTGGCTAACATGGTGAAACCCCGTCTGTACTAAAAATAAAAATAAAAAAAAATAGCCGGGCATAGTGGCATGCGCCTGTAGTCCCAGCTACTCGGGAGGCTGAGGCAGGAGAATCGCTTGAACCCGGGAGGCGGAGGTTGCGATGAGCCGAGATCGCGCCACTGCACTCCAGCCTGGACAACAGAGGAGACTCCGTCTCAAAAAAAAAAAAAAAAAGAGAGAGAAGAAAAGAAAAAGAAATGCAGAACTACTGAATCTGAAACTGCATTTTAGCCAGATCCATAAAGAATTCTTTTGCAAAGTAACACTTGAAGAGAAGACGCAAAGGGGACAAGGAAACAGAGAAGAGAAAAAGAATATAAAAGTATATTGAAGTACCGTGTGCAAGACAAAGCCTGGAACACCCAAAATAGACCCAGATCTACCTTCATCGAAGTTCTAGTCTACTTAGGGGTATTTACCACAAATAACTGATGAAAAGTACACAATGATAAGGGCCTTGCTTCTAATCCGAGGAATCTGTAAAGATTTTAGAGAAGGGGTGACAGCTGGAGCTAACTCTGACCATGCCAAGTAAAGGAAGTGCTTCTGCAAGGTGTTCTGTGATTGCCCCAATTTTCCTATCTAACACCCGCCCTCCCACAGTCCAGCCCATGTGGTTCATCTGTGTAACTAAAGCATCATAAATTGTGAAAAATGTGAATGTGTAAACTATGTTGATTTAAAGCATGTCATTGTTACTCAAGATCACTCAGATCTACACAGATCCAGAACTCTAACCTCTTCCACTATATCATCCTCTCTAGTAGCCTCTTAAAGTCTGGGCTTTGCACATTCTCTTGATCTCTCTCCTCTATAGGAACTGTCTCTGGCTTGAACCTCAGTTCTATTTAACAATATACATTTGACTTTCTCTCAAACTTTTTTCAGAAGCTCCCTTTCTGCATTATGTTGCTTTTTATTTTGTCTGTTATTGTTTTCACTGTCATTAACTATTTTTCTCAAAACTTTCAGCACTCTACCCCTATACCACCAAAGTTCCCTTTTCCCCTCCAACTGACACGTTCACAATCTTTTTTCTTTTTCTTCTTTTCCTAATCATCGGCTTCTTGTTTCTTCTTCTTCTTCGGGGTCTTACTCTGTCACCAGGCTAGAGTGCAGTGGCACAATCAGAGCTCACTGCAGCCTTGACCTCCCAGGCTCAAGTAATCCTACCCCTGCCCCCAGCCTCCCAAGTAACTGAGACTACAGATATTCACCACCACACCGGGCTAATTTAAAAAAAAAAAATTTTTTTTGTAGAGACAGGGTTTCCCTGTGTTGCCCAGGCTAGTCTCCAACTTCTGGGCTCAAGTGATCCTCCCTCCTTGGCCTCCCAAGTGTTAGAAATACAGCTGTGAGCCACTGTGTCTGCCCTTCTTTTTTTTTTTCCTTTTTTTTTTTTTAATGAGATGGAGTCTCGCTCTGTTGCCCAGGCTGTAGTGCAGTGGCTCAATCTTGGCTCACTGCAACCTCCGCCTCCAGAGTTCAAGCGATTCTCCTGCCTCAGTCTCCTGAGTAGCTGGGACTACAGGTGCATGCCACTACGCCTGGCTAATTTTTTGTATTTTTAGTAGAGATGGGGTTTCGCCATGTTAGCCAGGATGGTCTCGATCTCCTGACCTCGTGGTCCTCCCTCCTTGACCTCCCAAAGTGCTGGGATTACAGGCGTGAGCCACCGTGCCCAGCCTGCCCTTCTTCTTTTTTTAAAAAAAAAGAAAGAAAAAAAAAGAATAGTCAAGTACAGTAGTGAGAAGGGGGAAGGAGTAAGTACATCCACAATCTTTAAAGATTCATCCATAATAAATATTTTCTTATTAAAAGCATCCACGATGACTTCCATGAAACACTTTGTTAAAAATCATTTAAGATACTATGCCTTGAGCTTCCAGGCCTGTCTTTGTCCGCTTCGGCTGCTATAACCAAATGCCATAAACTGATGGCTTATAATCAACAGAAATTTGTTTCTTATGATTCTAAAGACTGGGAAGTCCAAAATCAGGGTGCCACAAGATTCAACATGTGGTAAAGACCAACTTTCTGGGTTTTGAGATGGTGCCTTCTCACTGTGTCCTCACATGGTACAAGGGGCAAGGGCCTCTCTGGTGCCTCTTTTAAAACATTAATCCTTGCCCAGGCAAGTGGCTCACACCTGTAATTGCAACACTTTGGGAGGCCAAGGTAGTGGGCTCACCTGAGGTCAGGAGTTCGAGAGCAGTCCAGACAACATGGTGAAACCCCATCTCTACTAAAACCATAAAAATTAGCTGGGCGTGGTGGCACACACCTGTAGTCCCAGCTATGCAGGAGGCTGAGGCAGGAGAATTGCTTGAACTCAGGAGGCAGAAGTTGCAGCCTGGACGACATAGTGAGACTCCATCTCAAAATAAATAAATAAATAAAAGGACGCTAATACCATTCATGAGGGCAGAGCCCTCATGACCTAATCATTTCCCAAAGGCCCTGCCTCCTAATGCCATCACTGGGGATTTCAACATATGAATTTAGGGAGAACAAAAACTTTCAGACCCTATAGCAAGGCTCTACTACATTGGTTTGAAGTACCAGAATATCAGTGTTAAGAGCACCAGGATAACAAAGCAAGATGAAAAAGCCATTGGAGCTGGGTGCAGTGGCTCACACCTGTAATCCCAGCACTTTGGGAGGCCAAGGCGGGCAGATCACCTGAGGTCAGGAGTTGGAGACCAGCCTGGCCAACAAGGAGAAACCCCATCTCTACTAAAAATACAAAAATTAGCTGGGTGAGGTGGACCACGCCGGTAATCCCAGCTATTTGGAAGGCTGAGGCAGGAGAATTGCTTGAACCTGGGAGGTAGAGGTTGCAGTGAGCCAAGATCGCACCACTGCACTCCAGGCTGGGTGACAAAATGAGACTCCATGTCAAAAAAGGAAGGAAGGAAGGAAGGAAGGAAGGAAGGAAGGAAGGAAGGAAGGAAAGAAGGGAAGGAAAAAAGAAAAGAAATACTTGAGGCTGGATAATTTATAAAGAAGTTTAATTGGCTCACAGTTCTGCAGGCTATACCGGCATGGTGCTGGCATCTGCTCGGCTTCTTTTGTTATTTTTACTTTTTTTTTTTTTTTT